GTTACATTTGCGACCACTTTGCATGTCATACCAGTCCTCTTCCCAACTGATCCTTGTTTTGCTTCAAATCATATCAATGAGCGCTCAAAACGATATTTTAGGCTAATTTCGGAATTTGTGCCAAAAAATACCCGAAAACTTGAGAACTGTATTTGAAAGGTATCTTTCACTCTATCTTTCAAATGCTTTCATAATATTTTGAAATTCAATCACAACTTGAAGTCATTCTTTCGTTTTGACACACAATCAGCTCTTTTAAAGCTAACTTATCATTATTGTCATCATATCACCATGTTCAAGCCTTCATTATTACTATATAATCTCATTTTAGCAATTTACATCAATATTTATTTATCAATTACACATAGGGTGACCACCTTCCATTTCATAAAAAGAGGACACTTATTTTAACTTATTTAATTTTATTTTATAATTTTATTAAATTTTAAAGGACTAATAAAGAAACATTCAATAATTATTGATGACAAATAGAGGACACAAGTTTTTACCTCACTTTTCATAGCAAATCTTAAGAGTAATTTGCTTAAAATAGAATCTGGTCACCCTAATTACAATGTTATAGACAAATAGTATTATACAGTTTGACTTCTATATAAGGGAATTCGATATACGGAATTTTTTGCTAGACTAATCTCTCCTATGGGGGTGTATTATGGACCCTCGATATAAGAGAATTGTAATTAAATAGATTATAAGGGAAACTACTATCGGTCATATTTTACCAGGGTTAGCATTACTTTACCTCAATACAATATAGCTTACCTTAAGTTTGACTGTACATCTGTGTATTCTGAATTGAATGTAATAGTAATTTGACATTTGGTAAGATTAGCTTAAATCAATAAAACCTGAATGGAATAACCAAATACTTGTGAAAATACTTTTTATTAAATTCAAAAATTCAATTACAAACTAAATAAATAGTATTTACATATAATTATTGAAATTTGATTCATTTGATATGCGACCCAAACCTGGTGAAAAGGGTGTACTGTATTATACAATACAGTCTGTATAAAACAATAATATTTGTTTTATTGCATAACAGATCGATGCCCGCAATAAGTCATGGAAGTGGTGGCCATCACTCGATGGGAACGAATGGTCGGTCGGCAACAGTGACCTCATCGACGAACTCGAGTCCATCACCTTTGCTGCACCAGACATATTTTTGGCACAAATTCCGAAATTAGCCTAAAATATCGTTTTGAGCGCTCATTGATATGATTTGAAGCAAAACAAGGATCAGTTGGGAAGAGGACTGGTATGACATGCAAAGTGGTCGCAAATGTAACACAAGTGGCCGCGTATTGCCTCTATTGCCAGTATTAGATGTCCCTGAATAGAGAGGCACTTAACAAATGAAGTATTGGGTCAGTACTAAGAAGAAGCCGCACAAACACAACATGTGTTTGTTATTTGCAGAGAATACATTAGTTACCTGTCTTGACCGTGAGTAGAGTTGGTAGATAAAGAGTTTTTGTCAAAGGGTAAAAAGTCCGATTGATAACCGAGTAAATTGAGTTTTGTGATTTGTAAGTTTATTAACGTGTAATTTAACATTTCAATGTGTTTTTTGTCGGTTTTAAGTTTTATATGCAATTTATAACGAAAAAATACAAATTACAAACCTTTGATGATTGGCATCGTTTGTAGGCGATCTGTCTCGTTGTCGTCGGTTCTTAAACCAATTGCTTACTATTCGTACAATTTTAATGATGTTTTAGATTTAGTTACGCAATGAGAATGCCTTCAAATACCTTGAGTGGATGTAAGGCCAGTAATTTTGGCCAATTTCTTCTTCTCTTCGGGCGACGGATATCTTGCCATTTCGTAACTCCTTTTGAGCTCCGCTCTGGACTTCTCTTTGAAACAGTAGACGAATTCGTCGCCGTCCCAAATGGTGTGCGGCAGCGGATACTTCTTTCTGATCCTATACTTGTCGACGGCTCATAATCAATGGACAGAACTGGCACTCATCTCAACCATCTATTTCTCAAAAACAGTTTCCCATTTTTCAGGCTAACTATTGGCTCATTTAACTCAAAACACTAAACATTCAAATAATTGCACATTAAATCCATTTCAATGTGTTTTTTGTCGGTTTTAAGTTTTATATGCAATTATAACTAAAGAATACAAATTACAAACCTTTGATGATTGGCATCATTTGTAGGCGATCTGTCTCGTTGTCGTCGGTTCTTAAACCAATTGCTTACTATTCGTACAATTTTAATGATGTTTTAGATTTAGTTTTGAGATTTAGTTACGCAATGAAAATGCCTTCAAATACCTTGAGTGGATGTAAGGCCAGTAATTTTGGCCAATTTCTTCTTCTCTTCGGGCGACGGATATCTGGCCATTTCGTAACTCCTTTTGAGCTCCGCTCTGGACTTCTCTTTGAAACAGTAGACGAATTCGTCGCCGTCCCAAATGGTGTGCGGCAGCGGATACTTCTTTCTGATCCTATACTTGTCGACGGCTCCGAGTTTTCTGTTGCGACTGATGGCGAGCTGTTCGTAGTGGGCCTCGTGCCACAACCTCTGCAGCTCCTTGTGGTGGTCCGCGTGGAATTGATGCGACTCTAGGATGCGATACAATTCCGTGAAGTTCAGAGTTTTCTGTTGCGACTGATGGCGAGCTGTTCGTAGTGGGCCTCGTGCCACAACCTCTGCAGCTCCTTGTGGTGGTCCGCATGGAATTGATGCGACTCTAGGATGCGATACAATTCCGTGAAGTTCTTGTTGTTGAAGGCGACGGCCGCTCTCACGCGTAACATCTCTTCGTTTCGCATAATCTGGTCGTTTGATGGAAGAGATCCCATAAACTCTTCTAACTTCTTGATTTTGTCGGCCTGTTGCATGGCCTGACACACACACGCTATCTGTTGCTCCGAATACGGGAACCCTTCACCCAATGTTCCCAACCCTCTGGACGGACCGTTGGCTCCATTGTTGCCATTCATTAAATAATTGCCATTTTGTGCACAAGTTTTAAGCGACAAATTGGGACTGTTTTGGAGTTCTTCATATTCGGGTGCAATTGTGGTCGCATTCAGAGTCATGTGTTCTCCGATTCCCACTTCTGGACTATAGTAACGAAGATTACGATTATTTGATTCCTTATAGTTAGTGATGTGAGAAACAGAAGTCATTGCGTTTATATCACTAATCGGCGAGTTTTGTATCAGAGCTGACATTTCAAACTGACAGCTCAGATGTGATGGATTTGATGGTATACTAAGATCTTGGACTTCGCTTTGATCCTCACTCTTGTGATCCATTGATTGTAAATCCAATTGTCATAACAAAAAAATGTATTATTAAACACAAATGTAAAATCAATTATTTATAATTCTTGAAATGTTTTGCTATAGAAATATAATAATAATTTGTGAAATAGTATGCTATTAATTGGCATCACTTTTATGATCAACGCTTGTATATAATGGCAAAGTTTGTAACGATAGAGAGAGGAGAGAAAGAGAGCCCAGCATTTGGAAACGTTTTGCGGATACATGTGATCAGCGATTGGCTGTCAGTCCTTCTGGCGGAGCCTCAGCTCTACGCAGACTTGTTGTCGACTATGGTTTTTATTGAAGGGATTGTAAGCTTTTAATATTAGCTCAAAGTTTTGTCGTATTGTCGCACCTATTCATTATGGGATGAAGTGTTTGTCATTACATTCGTTGCACATTTGCCTCACTTTTGTCCGTATTTTACATATTATACACTTTATATACACTTCTCATACAGTGGTTATTGTGTAAAAGCTTACGCTTCCAACTGTTGGAAAAACATTTATTCAATGCAAACCATAGAATAGTATTTTCGCTGCCAAACCATTTACACACAAATTATATGTTAAACGTCTATAACACTAGACTTATAGTCCATATATTGTAAAGAATGCCTCAAATATAATAATTGGCATAAAAATGTGCACTTCTTTTCAGCCCCTCTTAAATTTCAAAACATTTCACTTTAACATCATTTCTATGCGTTTTCTTTCATACGATAATCTTGTTTTTGTCGATTAATAGCACATTAATTAATATTAAATTCATATTAAATTCTTCTAACCATCTAAATTCAATTTAAATTTTTATATTTATTTTTATTTAATATTGGTTTCAGACTAACAAACATTACATAATTGTAATAATAAATTTGCAACCGAGTAAAACTGTTTTATTTTACAATATAATATTCTTTTTTTTCACTATAGATCTATATTTATGACTTATTAATTACATTTATAGATTTAAAATTGATTTGAAAATAATATTAATTATCAATACAATTGTGATATTAAACGCTATTAGCGTTAAACTTTAAAACATTTCTAAAAGATTTTTCTTATTGAAATTGTTTGAATTTAAATGTGAATTTAACAAAAATATTTATTTTAATTTTATTTTTTTGTTATAATGAAATATGGCATTTTAATACAATTAATACAATGGGATATTTATATTTTATAAATCTATTTGGAAACTGATCTCAAACTATAAGTTCTATTATTAGTCCAAAATATTTATAATTAATTATGTTATGAAAATTGAACAGAACTTAATGTATGAACTCTCAATACAATATATTTAATTTGATTCTATAGTTTGAAATTAAAATTAAATATAAAAAACATTATTAGCTAATATGAATTACACAGTATTAGTTATTAGTATTATTGTGTAATAAATTTGATTGATTGGAAAATCAATAAAAATTGTGAATTGAATGAAATATTCTTAATAATAGTCTTAATATTTAATAACATTCTACAGGTATTGTATTGTAGTAGATATTTTGTACATATTTTGTATAAAATATGTTTTACTTACACTATTTATATAGAAATAAATGTTAAAATAAAACGATTTAAAGAGTTAGTGATGAAAAACAATTATGGTTAATTTTGGGTTTTTTAAATAACGAAAATATTTAAACGGTAACAAAATGAAGAAAAATCTATTACAAAAAGAGTTTTTAATAAAAACTTTTTATACATTTAAATACAATAAAATACATGAATATTTATATTTTAAAACTCATCGTGCTAACAGTGCAAATAATCTCATTTATTTTAAACTATTTCACACAACATTTTTTAACACAATATACACTTAAAATAATATTTGAACTAGACAATTTTCCACATTCTTTTGCAAATAGTTTTTTCAATATAAACTTTCTATTACTTTAATTACAAAATATGTTCTTTTAATATAATTAAATTATTTTCATATTCATGAGGGTAAATATAAGCTTATATAATACTTATACCTAGGGTGACCACCTTCCATTTTAGAAAAAGAGGACACTTATTTTAATTTTAAAGGACAAATAAGGAAATATTTAATAATTATTGATGATAAATAGAGGACACAAGTTTTTACCTCACTTTTCATAGCAAATCTTAAGAGTAATTTGCTCAAAATACGTTAAAATAGAGGACTGTCCTCTAAAAAGAAGACATCTGGTCACCCTACTTATACCTATAATTGAATCAAACAACACAGGTTTTTGTGTGTTTAAGACTTTTAACAAATGTAGTCAAATGTTTTACAATAGACCAACTCTTGCCATCAAATCATTTGCAATTGATGAACAAATTAGGATTAGTTAAGTTGTTTAGTAAATGATCAATGAATAGATAGTGTGGAGATTGTCATCAACTCTGCCATCAGTTTACAGACAACGGAATTGTATCAAAACTAGAATTGAATGCTTGAATGCCATTCACTCCAAAACAATTGTGAAATAAGTGGTCGACAAATGTCTTTTTGATAGAATACAAAGTTGACAATTGATATGCAATAAAAAAATATTTTATTAAATAAATAGCAAAACAAAACACATTTATTATAAATGAATTTGAATGAAAGAAACACAAGAATCTAAAATCGTGTCTAAACTATACTAAACGGCAATAAATATATCTCAAAAAGCAAAAAGATAAAAGTGATTGGTTTATAATAAAGCATATTTAGTTATAAGTTACCGTTATATAAATATATTATATTCAATACATTGTATTAAAAGCAACAGATTTTTGAAATAATTATCACAAATAAAATAAATAAAAAAATCAGTAAATGATTGGAAAATAGAAATCAAAATATTTTATCAATTATTATAATTGACTAGAAGTACAAAAAGGAGGAATGGAATGCATATATCAGTACTAATACTGTTATACCAATAATTATCCTATAATTAAAATATTAAGTTTTGTTTTCCATTAATCTTTTCATTGTTTTGTTGTATTATTTATAACAAGTCTTATACTGTGTATTCACTTCACGTATCGTTCAGTCGATTCTTACAAATAATAGATATTTATATATAATTTAATAATTATTATTACATTTAATTAGACATTATTTTTCGAGAAACGACTGTTGAGTGGCTTTAATACTGAACTGTTTGAGAGTGGAGTCGAGAGCCGTCGCGTTTCCGGAGGCAAAGGCCGCGAAGGCGTTGTGGAATAGGATTAACTGTTTGTGCATTACTTTGGCTTTATTTTCGTCCAAAAACTTCATTTTAATGGTCACATCGTCTCGAAGTCTCTCGTATTTGGTCTTTGATTGCTTCAACTTCTCGGCCGCCACTCCACTCCCGACTCCGCCCGTCTGACCGCCGAGTCCTGCGGCCAGAGCTGAGCTGTTCTTCTCGGCGTCGAACTCAAGTCTCGCCATTTCGTAGGCTTTGATCGTAATAATGGTGTCTTCGATAGTCTTATTGACTAAAGTCGAGAGATTGGATGTGAAGAACTTGAGGGCCAGTAATAGTTTTTCGCCATTTTTGGCCACATTTCGCATCATTTCCGCGTTTTGCCGGAAATCTGTTCCCAAATTCAATAAATTATTGCCATTATTAATGCCCTCAACGGTAGGGTTGGTATCGTTGAGACCATTGTTTGATTTGCTCTCTTTCATCGCCAACTCATTGAGACACTCGTAGAGTGAGATCTGTTGAGTGATAATCGTCTGGTATTGCGAACCCATGTCTCGAGTCATCTTCAGAATCAAAGAGTATTTGTGTTGAGTTTCTCTGAGTCTCTCGATGTCTGCCTCTAAGTCCATGTCTACAGTTCGCTGACATTTGCCTAACTTCTCGTTCACCAATTGCTTCGTACACTTGTATGTCGTCAGCGACCACTCCTTCAGCTGATCCATCGGTGTCTGCAGTTTGCCAGAAGTGGTGCCATTAGTGGCAGCGCTGGTCGTATCGCCGCAATCCATGGCAACGGATCCAAAGGGCGACTCCAGTGGTAGAGTCGCCGGCCGTTGACTGGAGTGGCTGTGAGTGTCTTGTATTGAGATTTCATGCATTGAATCCATGGATGTCTTGTTGACGGACTCGAAGCCAACGGGTCTTATACTGGAAGCCATCTTCACTTGTCATCACCACTACTACTGTTACCATCGATACCATCGACAACACACTCACCACTCATGACATGACATCTGTTGTCCAAACGCACCATCACTTCAACACTTCCCACAAAAGCACTTCATTTGAATCACTGCTTCAATCAATTCAGCGATTAATGCAAACATTTATTCATATTTTAATTGATTTTTAATTTAAAACACAATTAATAGATGTTTAATAAAAAGTAAATCAAACCATTAACTTATTGAATGGCAATAATTAAGCATGCTCATTTTGCAGTTCACATGTTATCATTATATTCATTATAACTGTTCCCTCTTATTATTAATAAATTGCTAATTAAAATAAAGAGTAATTAATACTTAATTTATTTATAAGTAAAGTATTAAATAAACAATTAAAATCTTTAATTTTAAACAAATGAGGTTAAAAATAAGTTTGTTTAATAAATAGAAACCAAGGTGGAAACAATGTTTTATGATGATAAAAGGCAACTTATTCTACAATAATATAATCAGCGACTTCCACAGGTTGCACTCAGGTTGCATTCGCGCCTTTTTATGTGCGAGGGTATACTGTATAATCATTCTCAACCAATTACTAATAGCAAAAATAATGAAACTTCAGCTATTAACCAAAG